ATTATGGTGACTTTGCATGGCAACCGTGAGATCTTTGGTAGGTGTGGAATAGGGAAACTCGTTCTCAAAAAATTTCACGTCACGGGAAACAAATCTTTGCTTGGTTTCTAGGTCAAACAATTTCCAACCTTTCTTTCCAAATGGGTAACCTAGAAACACACATTTACGACTACGACTTGCAAATTTGTCTCCTTTACTTCGTTGATCATGCGCATGACATAAACACCCAAAGACCTTGATATGATAATAAGAAGGGGCTTTCTTAAACAATATCTCAAAAGGAGTTTTAAAATCTAACAATCTAGAGGGGGTTCGGTTTATTAGATGACACGCAGTTTGAATGCATTCTCCCCAAAATTTAAGAGGTAAATTAGCCTGGAAACGAAGTGCCCTGGCTACATTTAAAATATGCTGGTGTTTCCTTTCAACCCTCCCGTTTTGTTGAGGTGTCCCGACACATGAAGTTTAAAATATTATTCCGTTTTTATGAAAATAATCAAGTAAAGCATGAAATTCAGTTCCATTGTCACTGCGGATTGTTTTTATATCCTTTGAAAATTGTCTCTTAACCAAAGCAATGAAGTTAAGGAACGAGAATTCAACTTCAACTTTCTTATTTAACAAATAGGTCCACACGCTTCTAGAGAAATCATCCACAATTGTTAAAAAATAACGTGCACCACAAGATGCAGGAGTCTTATAAGGACCCCATAAATCCAGATGGATCAATTCAAAAAAATCACTTGCCTTATTTTCACTCATTGGGAAACTACTTCTATGTTGCTTGGCCCGGGGACAAACATCACAGGATTTATTTTTGCACTCAGAAAAACTATGATAGTTAAACGGGAGATGCTGTAAAACCTTGTCCGACGGATGTCCCATTCTTTGATGCCATATCTCAGGAGAGTTCTCTGTATTAATCTGGTATGTCTGCACTTCAGGAACACCGCGGAAATAATAAAGACCATCCACACGATCACCCGCTCCAATCACCTTCTTCATCGCTAGGTCCTGTATAACACAGATTTTGTCAGTAAATTGAAGAGTACATTTTAAATCGTCACATAATTGTGAAATAGAAATTAGATTGCAGTTTAATTGGGGAACAAATAAAACATTGTTCACGGTTAACCCTCCATCCAAGACCACTGTTCCAATCTTGGAAGCATAAGCGGATGTACCATCCTGGAAGACGCACCGGATAGTGAGTCAAATTTGTTACATTAATCATACATGACAGGTCAGAGGTTACATGATTCGATGCGCTTGTGTCTAGAATCCATTCACGCTTACCATGGAGTTTGGTTTTAAGAGAATTCAAGTGGTCTAATATTTGTTGAACCTGAGCAGGAGTTATGCCCGAGAGAGCTGCCGCATCACTAGTTGTGGGGCAGAATTGTGATAAGTCTGTGTTGATTGGGCGGTTGTTTTGTTTGCTCTTGCGGAGGAGGATGTGGATTGGCCCCTTCCACGCCCCTCATTCGTGCACCTGCACGTGAGGTAGACTGCCCACGACCTTGGCCTCGACCACCACGGGGACGGTCCCCCCACCAGTCTGGATATCCGCTTAACTGAAAACATCCCGATTCAAGATGTCCAACTCGATTGCAATGTGTGCAAAGGAGGTCGGAGTTGTCTGTCCGTGGGGTCTTGTTCTTCTGGTCCGTGGTAATTGTGAACGCCAAAGACGATTGATCACGCGACTGGGAAGATTCACCACCAAGAAGGCGCTCCGCTTGTACGACCTGTTGGTAGGCCTTGTTCACGTCTGGCAGAGGTTCTTGGGCTAACAATTGGCCTCGAATTGGACCATATTTTTCGTCCAACCCGAGAAGGAAGTGATGAAGGTAGTCATCCTCACGCAATTTTTCCATCTTCGAGACGATGTTGCATGTACAAAGCCCACACTCACATGACGGGATAGCCAAGTATGTATTTAGCTCATCCCAAATTTTTGCTAATCGTCCAAAATAAATAGCAACTGCCTCGGTCTTTTGTTGCTTGCAAAGGCCCAAAGAGGACTTTAATTGACAAATTCGAGTGCCGCTAACCACACAATAACGGTTCTTGATATTGGACCAGAGCAAACGTGCATCGTCATATGCCCCCAAAGAGGAGCGTGTTGGAACAACAAGTGTGTAGTGTGTGAATTTTGTGAAAAAACTCAAAGTCCCACATTGGTGGGAAATGAGAGTTTTACTCTCTTTATAATATAGAGAGTGGGCTAAAGAGGTGTGGCCCTTGGGCTACCCACATTTTGTGGAGAGGGAGGACCTATATGGTAAACCATCTATCACACACGCGCGCCGAGCCGGGTTGGGTCGGGTTTATTAAATAAACTTATTTTTTGGACAAGGCTAATTGCGTGATTAGTTCCTTGATTTTTGCTAAACGTTTTTGACTGATTACATTTGACCGTTTTTTCAAAACTGATTAATGGAGCGTTAATCATGCAAACGTTTTCACTGATTTTTTGCTAAACGTTTTGCCACGCATTAATCTTCTGTAACCGTTTTCAACGTTCAACTTATGACCGTTTTAATTGCGTGATTAGTGCCTAATTAAACAGCAGCAGTTACGTTGCAATTTTGCCTATAAAAGGCGTGTTGATTTCCTGTTTTTGATACACAAAAAAATACAGAAAGCAATCTTCTTCTCCTCTCTATTTTTCCTCACAAAAACAAAACCCTCGAGCAGTTTCTTTTCTTTTTGGTGTTTAGTTGCCCGGTGGTTTTGTGCAGTTCCACCGGTATAATTACAATAGAGAAAGGCTGTTTTATCCTGGGGAACATCCGGTTTAGTACGAACTGTTTGCACATTTTCAGGGCAGTGCCGTGAATGTTCTAAAGAAAGCGACATAGTCCGCGACTCAGTCTAATTTTCGGTAACTTTGTTCTTACTGTTTTTGTTCCCGCAGTTCCGTTTATAACAGAGCGTATGGAGGGATCAACAGTGTTTAAGAGCCATGACACCAGCATAGAGTTCACAGCAATCCAATCATCCAATTTCGCATGGTCCGTTGGTTTGGGTACGAAACCATCAATAAAACCAAACTTACGTTTGGCCCTCAATGAAATGGACACGGCTCGTGCCCACTCGTCATAGTTGTCGTCTTTGAGTTGAACAGGGGTAATAATATTTCCAGGGGCATCACTGGAGCCCAAATAATACACTAGATCAACAACCGGTTTGTCATCGGTGGAAGATGATGGCGTGGTCATTGAAAAAGAGCAGGCAGTGAAAGAAAAAAAATAAAATAAAAATATTTATGTGAAACCTGGCTGTGATACCATGCTAAGTTGATATGAAGATCAACAATTTTGATATTCTGTCTTTCTTAACCTTGAAAACATCAGAGTACAAGAATATATATAGCAGAGACTCCTTGTTCAACAAGGACAAGGATAACTCACTATCTTATCACCAAATAATCTATCTTAAACTAGGATAATCCCACAATAATAGAGATAGAATAATATCACAAGATAATTATCTAAAGATAATATCCCAATATTTATCTTATTTGGTTAAAGTTTGATGATATGGTACTCTGTAATATTTAAAACATGAAATCGAATCTTGTTTACATTTTTTTTTAGTGACTTTCTGATCAAAAGATATAATCCTTTCTATAGACTTCGCGGAACAAACTTTGTATGTCCTTTTTATAGACTTTACGGAACAAACTTTGTATTTCCTTTATATAGAATTCGCGGAACAAACTTTGTATAGAGAATCTAAGCTTTGACCAATGTATTGATCGATTTAGATGAAATGATGGTCTTGAGATTCAAAGAAGATCATGTCTAATTGGACTACTTAGAAATTTGAACTTTGACCAATAGAAAATAAGAGCAAAAAATGTGGCTGCTGGGATTCGAGCCCAGGTCTCCACGGCCACAACGTGGAATTCTAACCACTAAACTACAGCCACTGTGATGAACATAAACCGCATATATATTACATTTTGAAATTAAACATAACAAGTGAGACATTCAAACAACAAGCTGTCTAATGTCCATCACATTATGCATTCTATTCCTGTTCAATTATACTTGTACTATTTTGTGTACCAAATTATGTTTTAGTTCATCCTAAAGAAATGGATTATTTTCTGGATATACTTAACTAACTTAAGGTACTATTTTTTTTTTTTTCTATCACCGTAATTATACCCTTGTATGTATAGGTAATAATTTCAAAGAAAAACATGATAGTTTGTTAAAATACGTCATTAGTGAAAGATAAATCGAATTTAAACAAATTTTAGCAAGGTTTCTTGTATAGAACCCTAAATTAAATGTAAAATTTCGAACTACTGTAGCCCCTTTTTAAATTTAAGGACAAAGGAAGTATTGGTGACTAGACCAATTTATCTATTCTATGCGTATTATCTTAGACTGCTCATTTTCTTGCACCTTTCCGATTCTATCAGGCAATTTGCAACTGTACTCCCATGGTATTCATTAGATGCAGTATAAGATTAAGATTAAAGAAGCTTCAATCTTCATCTAGTCTAAAATTTCTTTGAGAAACACTTCAGTAGATATACAGTCCCTTAGGCCAGTTAATAAATTAACATTAAGATTTTCTGATCATGAATAAATTATGGTGATCTAGTCTAGTTAAAACATTATAACTTGCCAGTCTGCAATATGACTTCATCATCTACCGTCCCAGAAAAATTAACCAAAACCGTCACAAAGCAGAAAACGAATCTGCATGCATTGGGCAACCATTGTGTATTTGTGTATATGAAGACTAAATAAAGTATCAGAAGAGGCGTTAGGGTGATTCCATGATGGCCAGAACTGGTAGCTATTCGTTTGCTCCTTGTGCAGGCTCACGTTTGTGTGCATGCCAAGCATGGGGGTATATGGAAAAGAAACCTTCTGTCGATTATGCTAAACCACCTTAGCTGCGTTAGTTGGTTCATTGATCAAGGCTAAGAGGCTTTATCTAACTCTAAAGTTCAACTGCTAAAAATACATCAAAACTGACAAAAATGAGAGCGATACATCTCTAGTATATATCAATAAACTCCTGCAATATCGTCTTGTGTTATGCCACACCTATACATACACAAGCACAAAAGTTCAAAAAGCTAAGCCTCAATTACATCCAGTATTATTCTAAAATCTACAAGATCTCATCAATATAATTCTCCTATTATGATGCTAGCTCTAAACAGCTTTTGTACACCAGAAATATTCTGGGTAAATGTAGGCCAAAGAAAGAGGATGCAGCATGTGTCATCTGGGTGCGCAGCAACATCTGCGAGCTGTGGTTTTATACTTCATGTTTTAAAATGCTGATTACCTGTATATTCTCTTAATTTCTGTTTTTGTAATCTTCAAAATCAGATGCATATGCCAATATTCATTGTCAGAGACCAAGAACCTTAGGTGCTAATTGCAACAACGGCTCCAAGGAGCTTGGTGCAAATTTCCTAGCAAAGAGAAAACACAGTGTAGTATTCCTCCCATTGTATTCACAAGTCTTACTCTCCCTAACCTTCTTAAAAAACTCCACCGTGATGTCCCCTTTTCCAAAAGTAGCAGGGTGCGAACCGCCTCTTGACCAATCCACCCAAGTGATACTTCTGTTTGCCAGAAGATTTGGCGCTCGGATCGTAAGCATGGTGGGAAAATAGTGCTCATCCACATAACAATGAGGTCTACAAAACGCTTCAAACTTGGGGTGATAGATAGTGTCTTCAACTATGTTAATTGCCAGTCTTCTATCGATTTCAAACCATTGAGATCCTTTACGCCAGTCAGATAGATTAACCTCAGGGGCCATGCTCTCATTATATCGTCCCCTCCCATATGGCCCAGTGTCATCAAAGGCACCAAGAAAGCTATACTTGGATCCTGTGATGTAATTCACAGTTGTGCTAAAATTGTAGATTGGAATGCAAGATTCAGAAAGAAGTATGAACCACTCATTTGAAAAATCAAGCAATGCATTGGCAAGGAGCCTTCTTTCGGCATCACACATGCTCATCCTTCCCCATTCTGCCACCTGCAAAAAAAAAAATGCAAAAGGGTGAATTAGCCATATTTCTAGTTCTAAATATTTGAGACAAGCAAAACATCAAAAAAATGAAGTACTTTATATCAGCAAGTCAGTTAGGATACAAATTACAAATTAGCTATAATTATTCACATATTATAATTCATTACAATTAACATGCTAGTGACAATACAAAACCCCTGTTAAATCCCTCCATGATCTCAACACTTGTTACCGTCAACTTTCTCATCTCCAACACAGACTTTCACATCACAAACAATCTGACCACTGAACTTGAATCCATTCATCTTCCTCAAAATCATGACTTTCACCAAAGGATGACTCCCTTTTCTATCATCACAGCCTTAGAAATTTATAATTAGCTAAAGTTTACTATCCGCCCAAGATTGCAAACTTAATGCACTGGCAGACGACATCTTGCCAAGTAATTAACATTTGAGCAAGCCTTCACAATACCCAGAAACTTCCGCGATAAATTTACAGGTCTGACCTGTAATTTGGAGTGGATGGACATCAGAGGCAAATAATCAAGTAAAAGACAAGCCTGGAGGGCTCTCAGTGAGCTTTCTAATTTAACTGAACAAAGTACAGACAAGTGAAATCAGACCAAGAATAATGCATTTACAATAGAAAAATCATGTCAATGTCTAAAAAGACACACGCATACCTAACCCCACACACAGAGGACTTCCCATCATGTTTCAAACCTACGAAATTTCACAAAAAATACTTGTCTGCCAGTCACTTCGTCGAATAAAAATATGAAGATATACATCCCCCAATAGTGACAGAAGACCCAAGAGTACTCTCAAACTGCTAAGGAGAATAAGGCCATACCCCAGATTATCACATTGTGTAAGTCATCGAAATTTTCTGAACATGTAAACCATAGTGCTCTCTAGTTGGGGAAGAACATGCATAAATTCCCAGCTAAAATGCTCAGGCTTTACAGTAGGGCTCCGACAACCATGTTAAGTTGTGCCAACATGGAATAACTCAGATGTAATGAGACTATGAGAGGAAATCTATCAGTCACGGCATGAACTTTTACCAATAATAAGGGTACATAACATCTTGAGCAGAGGACGAGAAAGTTGCAAAATAAACCCGAAACTTGTTAGCAATCGTAGACAACCAAATTTAACAAGTAATAATTTGATGGACAGGCTATGCATGACTGCCTTAACCAGTACCTGAAAGGCTGAAATCCCCAGTCACTAAGACAAAAAATTCAAAATTTAAATCCCTAGAGCCAAATAAATACAAAGTATTAGACTTTTGCACCTGACCAAAGAATCATACCCCAAAAAACCCAAAAATATTCCTCAACAACTTACTTTAAATCTTCTCTAGTATTGATGCTGACCCTCCATAACTTGCTCATACATGCCTTTTTTCCCCACACATGTATGAAACTAGTAAAAATCCAGTAATTGCACCAGAATTAACCTTGTTCCTTCAACATCAAAGGGCTCTGAATAGCCCGTCTATATAATGATCAATACTTTGGCACACAAAGCACATTAGAATTCAGCAGTCACTCCAATTGTTAATTTACTATCCAAAGTCAGTGGCCCAGTGTAAGCTCTGATGAATGCACTGAATACACAAAATGATGCAGGGAGTTTGGTTGAGAAAAGTTTAAGGCCAAAAGGTAGGTTTGACAGGTCCAATCCTTAAAAAGGATACTGGTTAATAGAATATTGGAAGAGAAATTTGAGTCCCAAAGGATAATTTTGAAAGAGATAAGGGGAGCTTTTAGGATGAAAGGGTTCAAGACGTAGACTATGTAGTTGTAAAATTACTATTAAACCCTAAAGTTACTCAAATTTAATACCTTTTACCGAAAGTCCTCAAAACCCGGCAAAAAAAATTAAGCCAACATTTTTATTGGTCATTTTACATAATTAAGTAGCTATCAACTAACTGCAATTTACCAAACACTTAACCAACAACTAGTCAAACCACCTAATGCAACTAACAGTTAGTTGCCAAACAAGGCCTTAAAGATGTGCTCACTTCGGAAAGGTGATAAGGACATGAAAATGTGTTGAAAACCTTTTTTCCACAGGGGTTCAAGTCCTCTAGGGTCTACACTACCTCTCAAAATAACCCTCACTGAAGGTCAAAAAGGATCACAAGATAAATTACAGGCTCACAAGTTATATGATGTATAAAAATATAATAGTTCCCAATTCAAAAATTTAACACAGGTAATATAAAGCTATAACCCATCCTCTAATCCATCATAAAATTCTGATTATTGATATTTCACAACACCTCAGAAAGTAGCAATGCAAGATTTCTTCAACAACATTTAAGTGACTAAATTGCCGTTAAACACTCTCTTGACCTTATAAGAATTTGAGGTATGGACTATATAAGATTGCTGCGACTCAATTTTGTTGAATCATTATACATTGAAGCTTCTACAAGCTTATAGTTACTTAATTGAATACAGTGTACAACATCTTAAATGGCGTGGTGCCTAGAGGAGTAAGAGTTACATATCATTCAATTTCTAACAACCATCAGGGGTGCAAGTAGAAACAGTCCTTGCAATCAATGCTTACTTAAAGCTACACATACCATAACATAAATATAGTATCTTACAAAAGGTCCTAACAGTGGCGGTTTTAGGACAATCAAATTCATGCAACCATATGCTGCAATTGGACAAAGACAGTTCATAGACAATTGATTGGAAAATTAATGAGATAGTAACAACATATATTAATTGCATAACACTAAGTTTACTCATTACAAAGATACTCTCTTTCCTTCTCATAACAACATAATTTGGGTTCTACCAAAAGCTGCAGAATAAGTTAAAGGCTTGATTACTGAATTTTTTTTTCTTAAAGCATGTGACACCCCTAATAGACATAGTCACACCTAAAACCTCGCAAATCGATCAGAATACCCCTAATGGCTCACATTAGTATAAGCCATATGATCAACAATGTAATAGACAAAGTGCAATAAAATTCACATTTGTGCACATATTCATCAATATAATGGAAGGCAATTACATAATTAAGCACATAAATAGCACAAAAACATAAAGATTTGAACACAAAGTAGCATACACAATCAGGCAAACAGTTTAGCAAAAAATGAATTAACAATTCAAAATGCAAACAATAAAATTGAGCACAAAGGTAGTGAGAATCATACCTTGCTAGGTATATGCTTCTTGTAAAAAACTGATGTGGGAGGAAACTCCTCATTGTAAGATGGCAACGAGTGAACATAGATCGAAAACCGCCCCTCGTGCCCCTTAAAGTACCTCTCCCAAAGAGGTGCCAATGGCAATGGTCCCTTAGACAAGAACATGAATGCAATCTTAGGATTCCTGTCAAAAGGGTATTTCCTAATCTTTGGCACCAATGTGGCTCTCCAAAAGAGCTCTTCATCACTCATTGTATGCATCAAATTAGATGGGGGTCTAATCCACTGATCTAAACCACTAGACTCACCAATACATGGCTCTAAACTAGGCTTCACAACTCCAGCAACGCTGTCGAAACTGAATCGCCTAAATGTACTAAGACTAATGAAAGAAAACAACACACATAACACCAAGAACATCAAAAATACCAACAGTAATCTCACTGATATACCCCTAGTTCTAGTTACAGGAACTGGGTCCTTCCCTTCTTCTATTGCCATTATAACCCTTGTTTATTTGCTCAAAATTTACTTAAACAACAAGATCAAAGATACCCTTTTGCCTAAAATCACTCAAAAACTCCCACACTTACCCAATTATCTCAAATTTCTGAGAAATGGGTGATGAAATTAATCAATACCCGTCACAAAATGAACCTCTGTAGCATCAAAAACGATGCCAGATCTGTAATAAAAAGAGCTGAATTTATAGTAAAATGGATTATTTAGTGGGAAATAACAAAGATTGAAACTACAAAATATCTGATTAAAAAGGTAAGAAAAATCATAAGGTGATATATGTTAATCAAAATATTGCCAAAATAAACTGATACCAAAATCAAAACATATCATACTGATTTATTTATTGGAAGGGCTAGTGGACAATAATGGGTGGTCAAAAAAGTGGGAAAATTTAATTAGAGTGAGTCAAAGAAATTTTAATAAAAAAAAAAAAAAAAAAAAAAAAAACAAAAACAAAAACAAAAAAAAAAAGTTGAAGAAAAAAATTGGGGAAGTTTTGAAATTAGGGAAATAAAGAAAGATGGAAAGAGAAAGAAAAGAAAATCTGGGATGGGGGGAAATATAGGAGGATACTCGTAAGAGGATTTTATGTTGGGATTTTCCAGGTTTTTGGAGTATGTCTTTCGTATCACGCAGTAGTCGCCTTTGTCGGAGGCACTTTTTTGTCAAAAAATTAAACTTGGAATTTCCCTAATGATTGCCAAGTAATTAGGATAATTAGCGTAGGTCCAAAATGTTCATCACTCATCAAAATTTTTACTCCTTCCGTTTCTTAATAAAATTAAACGAAATTTGTATTTATACTCTATAATATGCATGTATAATTGTGAATGTTATAAAATGTTACTTTATTTTATTAAACGACATATTTGCAACATTGGTTTTTGCAAATCATTATTTTCGAATATTCTCAACACCTTCTATTTGGTCCAGCCTATTATTTCCTTTTCCCATTTACGCAGTTACGTCACTTGCAAAGTTGCGGTTGTTCTTTTTTTTTCCCACCAACAATTATAATTACCACAATTAACTCTACTTGTCCTTTAGGTTATTAATTTATACTTCGCATAAAGTATCCAAAATCCTTTCTAAATTACATGAAAACCTAAGTATTTGTACTATTTAGGAATGGAGAGTAGCTTAAATATGAAATTATGTAATCTCTTTCTCCTTTAAAGATCGCTTTACTTGACTTTATATAATTTTCAAGACAGGTTGAGATGGTAGCTGTATGACTATTATGTGTTTGAGCCTAGAGGTTATGGGTTCGAATCTAGCTCAAAGCATAATTTATTTTGTTAAATGAAGTGGCAAGCCTACGTGGGACATATGCTTTGGATAGTGACGTGGCATTGTGACATGGTGCGTATACTTTGAAGAGTAACATGTGGCACCCTTTCTTTGAAAGGAACACCTTTTAATATATAGTAAATCTCTAATTTCCATGTATAAAAGTGATAAAAAAAAAATTGATATTTAAAAAAAAAAAAACAAATTTAACAAGACCTCACATATTTATTTATACAAAGTATAAATTAGTGAAAATTTATTGTCCAAAACTTTATTTAGTTAAGCCCAAAAGGATTGTGCATATTATATGTTTATATGAGGTCAGACTCACCTCAAATTAATTTTTCACCCGATATTATATGAACTAAACTTGTTAAATCAAATTAGCCATAATATCCCTTCTTTATACACCTAATTGGATATGATTAGACTCAAATAGCATCAGGAACTTATTTTTTATAAGATAAATTGAACATATCCCAAATTACTACTTCGTATAACGTAAAAAAAAAAAAATAAAAAATAAAGCAAGGAGCTTGGTGATAAGTTGGATATAGTTAACATAAATAAGTTATTATGAGTATATTATGTTTAGGAAAGTCTTGCGCCAGAAGAATTTTTATCTTTGTGCATCAAGGAGTTCATCCGTTTGTTTATATAGAGGGGTTAGTAAGGTTTCTAGGGTAGAATTACTTAATACAAAAAAATTAGGGATTAAAAAAAAAGTGAGAATTTTATCAATGGCTTTACAGAATAACTCTGATGAAGTTGTGATCGCTTGTGATCATCACTCGGAGTGGCCGGCCGGAACACGTAAAGTAGAGGTACTTGTATGGTACGAAGAGTGGGAAAGAACGATCAAATGTCGTGACAAAGAAGATGAAAGTTGGTACGTTAAAAGAGATAAAAGATCGTTCTCATTGGGAAAGTTTAATCCGGTAGATTGCGAAGAATGCAAAGCTTGGTTATTGAATTTCCTTGAATCTTTCGTGTTTCACCCTAACCCGAATGATGTGTTACATGATCTATACAAGAAGGTTTCGAGTCTTCGATTTAAAGTAGCTATGGCACATGACGTGGAAATTTGTGGGACTAGTTACGAGATTATTAACCACATTGAGCGACATTGCATGTCACACGATAAAGAGTGGTTGATCACTTGGGTAGACTTTCGGGAACAACCACATGAGCAACATCCATCATTGCGCGCAGTGGAGATGGCTAATAAGGCCGGGAATTTGCCTAAGAAGCTTGATGGGTTTACTTGTGCTATATGTCTTGAAGGGGTTACAAACAAGGGGAAGAAGAGGAAGAGATCGAGTTATGATAATAAAGAAGTAGCGCGACAAGAAGAACAAGATTGTGTTGATGCCAAAGTATGTGACATGTCTACCAGAGTTATAAGATTGTTGTCATGCCATCATATGTTCCATAAATCTTGCATGGATAGATGGGTAAAGGATGGTCGTCGTTATACTTGTCCACTTTGCCGAGTACAGTTGCTGAAAAGATCAAGGTGTTGTTCTCAATGGGGTCTTGCTAAGAATAGGGCTTTGGATCATTCCAAGGCCATTAAGGTCGACATTGATCAATTATATATGTAGTGAGGTGTTTAGTGTTAATCCGGATCATGTAACCTATGGAATGTATAACCTTTGGTTTTTTCTAATATTTTTTATTCATGTAATCAAAATTACAAGATTTTAATCTTGTTTACCATATGTGTAAAAACATTTTCATTTCAATAATGTATAATATGATCTGAAGCTTTTCAAGAATTTCAACTATGCCGTAGGTTTAAGGGTCTAACTACTCAACAAATTTTTTGGTGGTGATTTGTTTTGGTCACTAGTTTTGTGACATTTGTTTTTTCCTTAAGGCAAATATAAAATAAGTTGCATTTTAGAATTTGGAGGGCAATTAGTCATTTGTTGGACCAAAAATCAGGTCCATAATATTAAAAGGCATGAATCAATTATCAACTGTTGCAGCAATTTCTTGATTGTAACCTGTTCTTTGAGCTAATAAACCAATCGCTTTAACCAGATGAGAGTTTTATTTACTACAGAAGAAACTTTCTGCATCTATTAACCAGTATTTATAATAAAATCTTGGAAACAAAATTATTTTGAGATGAAACACATTTAATTCTGCGAGAGGCTTGAGAAGACAGTCATTCAACTGACTGTCCGGGCATGACAAATACAAATATAAGAGGGCAAGGAAACAACAGAATTAGGAGTTGAACACATCATTTCACAAAGCATCAAAGTAGCCAGCCAAAGAGCCTTCAAGAAACTTGGTGAAATACACGTTTTGATAACCAACAAACGAAAAGTAGTTTGTCAAGCAGTAAGCTGTGCTACATTTACACTAGCATAGACATTCAAGTATGGAATTCATAGTTCTAAGCAGTTTTAATGTACTGGTTAAGTTCACACTTCATTTGTCAGTGGCTGATTCTCAAGAACTGTGCATGTAAACACCACCCTCCCTATTACCACCTTCTCTGCTTCATGTCTTCATTACATCGAAACGTGATTGCAGGTTACTGACAGAAGTTGGCATTTTCTTCTTTTCATCATAATCAGCCCAGTCCCCGTCCGACAGGTCCACATTTTCGAAAACAGTACCAGCAGTCTGCACATAAAAGATTAAACTTATATCAGGCAACAATCAGTAAAGTGTAGACGGCAAATGAAATCAAAAGAACTATCTAATAACAATGTTACTTTTCAAAAGTCTTATTCCCACAACTAATATGGATTTCTGACCCTAAGCCAACAGACAGATGTTCCTTCCATGGCTAACAGCTAGAGATGAGAATGTTTAAGCTTGCACAATCAGGTAGATTACCAAGCCCTCACTTCAAAAATAAGTAAGCTTATCATAATGTCAACTAGCATAGATGAGCATTAAGGTAAAGCAGCAAAGGGGAAGGGGTATTCATGTTGATGTGATTGGACAAATGGTGCTGGCACGAGGAAAACGCATAGGCAAAAATGTCATGCCCACGGACACCATCATCACATGAAGAGATAATATGGGAACTTAAACCGATGAATCTAGCAAATTTCAATACACAAATTACACAAGAGAGACTTACAGTTACAATTTTCCACTGATCACCACCAAAGGAGTAGTCCACTGGCTCCAAACCCCGGCAGTCAAAGCTCATCAAAGGGACAAACTTTCCTGCTTCACAGTCATCACCTGTTAGATAGCGGCCAGATTTTGGTATCATTGTAATAGTACCCTCCCTGCCACAGAACTTGCACTGAAATAATGAAAGGGTGACTGATTAGCAACAAGCCAAAAACACAATGTAACTATCACCATTACCAATGTAAGAAAATCCAAAATTTAGAAGGCAATAACACACAAAAAGCAACAGAATTTTAATAGCTGGAATGGAACAAAGTTAACAGCTCACAGAAAATTTACACATTGTAATGTAATTCAGGCATCAAATGTCAATTAAGTGTAAACCAGAAAAAATGCAGAAATGCAACACGTGATTCATACAGATCAAAGCATCAAACGCATTCTATAAGCTGCAGGACATTATTCAAGGCTTAGTCAATACTGATATAGCAACAACGTAAGCCATATATCACTCGAACGGGCACACTATTATTGAAAAAGATGGAATCAGTACAGCAAATGACTGAACAATAGATAAAAAAAAAAATAAAAAAAAAAAAGAATTCTAATAGCCAGAGCAGAAGTACTAGTACAACACCAATACACTATCATAAACCATTCCCCAAGTGCCAATACAAGGCCATCAATTGACATCCGGAAGAAACATATTAAACAAGTCCTAACTCCTAAGCAAATAATCCTAAGATAACAGAATTGCAGAATTTTCATACCAAACTTAAACGCTATCTCATGTTCAACAGTTCAATAAATCAGACAGGAATCAAAACAACGAGGAGAAATTTCCAGTTTGCAACCCTGGTGTTCATAATCCTTAATACATGTTCAATACTCCTGTAATGGATGAAGAAGCTTAAGGGGTATTCAACTCGCTTCTAGCAAATTGACGAAAGATCATCACTAAACATAAAAGATGAAAGTACAAAGCTCCTACGAGTTCTCAAAAACTTTAAAACACTTTCCTTCACTATAAGATACGCTAAAAATAGACTTCATAAACACTGATCATCTTACAGATAACACACATTTTTGTAACCTTCAGTAAGATAAATACAGCATATGATTCATTGATCAACACATAACTACAATCACTACAATAACCATGTAACATTTACAGTAAGATAAATGCAGCATATGATTCATTGATCAACACATAACTACAATCACTACAATAACCAAGAAATAGTCAATATAATGCTAAAACCCTCATGAAACTAAATGGCAAGAAATTAGTCCAGAAAAAGAAATAAACACTGACAAAACCAATCAATAGTGCCAAAATACTACCTCCATTCAAATATAATTGTAAAATTACTCATTCAAATTACACTTTCTACGCGACAACTAAATCTCAAATAGAAGCGAGCACAATCAAATCAGAATAGAACAACAGATTATCAGAGAGTAATAGAGATAAACCTTCTGAACAAGATTAGCCTGGCCACGACTCTTAGGGATAGGAACAACTTCTCCCAACATCACATAACTCTCCTTCTCAGTCACCTCTCCACAATTCCCACATTTCACCTGCAAAAACCCACAATCAATTTTGACTAAAAACACATTACTCAAGAAATACAAGCTTAAATAATCATTGTACACCATCTAACATACGCAATTACACAAGGAGGTGACAATCGGGTCGTTCGGATACAAACCCAACATCCATACTCGCCCGAGGCGTAATATTAAGTTCAAATTACATCAACCCCACCAATTTAACAAAACTAAAATTACATAAAAAAGCAAGAGAGAAAGAAAGAAAGACCTTGAAGTAGTAAAGGAAGTTAGGATCATCAAGGCCGCCCATTGGTTGAATGGTGGAAACATTTTCGACTTCAGCAGTGATCATGAGGTTGAAGGTCACCATTTTTGGCGTTGATTGTAAGCTTTGTTTCTCTCTCTTTCTTGCAGAAGAAGAGTCTCTCTCCTTAAATGTTTAGTTGATGATGGTGGTCAAATGGGAAATGGGAAATGGGTTGTATTTGTGATTTGGGTTGTTGTTTGGTTTAGGTCCGGATGATTCTAGTATTATGGGGCTGAATTGATATCATGTGTACAAGTATAAAATTTACCCAATCTGTGAAGCGGTTTTGATTTGTTAAGGTGTCAATTTGAGTAATTAGGTCGGTTTAGTTAAGTCGGTGCTCGAGTCTATTAAAAGTTTGAGTCAATGCTAAATGTCTAAATTACTAAGCCTATAAAAATTGAAATTTGGATCGGATTACTTTCGAGTTACGTTATATTTTGGAGTTCGAACCCCTGACAAAATTTGGGTAAGAGTTAATAATATATTTTACGGAGTAAATGATATTTTTTTAAAAATAGTTTTAAATGATATTTTAAAGCACTATATTGTCAAATTTCAATATATTGGATTAATTGTTTCAGTTATTGTTTTGAATCCTAAAATATTTGATTGCTAATTAATTGAAGCTAGTAAATTTATTTTTCCTAAACTTATTGATTGATGAATGTGTATAACTAGAATTTTTTTTTTTTTCCGTTGTTGTTTTTGTTGTAAATTTTCTTTCTTTCCTTTCTTCCAAATTTTTCTTGATATAAAATTAGAATTGGAATCTTTTTATTTTGGTAAGTCTTGTATGTGGTTTGTTGTTGTTGTTGTTTTTGTTGTAAATTTTCTTTCTTTCCTTTCTTCCAAATTTTTCTTGATATAAAATTCCAAATTTTTCTTGATATAAAATTAGAATTGGAATCTTTTTATTTTGGTAAGTCTTGTATGTGGTGTGGCCACATTGGTTTATAAGATTAATCTTCATTTATATGTATAATTAACCTTATTTAATCTCAAGAGTAATTTCATTTTGTCCATAAAAGTAACCCAAATTCATTATACGAATAAAATCAAGTAATTTAGAAATAAGTAACCCCATTTGTTCATTCGAGTAATCCCTATATTTTTGTTTTAAAAACTAAAAGAATGATACCACTTATTTAATAGAGTAACCCCTTTTTCTCATTTAAATAACCTACATACGTTAAGGTACCCCTATTTGCTCATCACCGTGACCCCTATTACTTAATTAATTGCCTTTTATGTGATTATGTGAAGTGGCCACACCAGGAGGCTAGTCCCATATAAGAATTTGAGTAGATGACGTGGCAAGTGTGGTGGCGCTATGAAAAGGGAGTATTTGGTGTGCTCTCTTTAACTTGGGCTAATTCTAAATAACACTTCTTCCTATTTAGTAAAATTGCAATAATTAGACTTTTTGCGTAATTCATAACTCTTGTTTGACTATATATTACTGTATGATATTCGTATAGAGAAACTGCTGTTCAAAATCCTTCGAATTCCTTAACCACTGATTTTACCACACTTATAGCATACCATACGAATTCCTTCGTATTGTATCCTCCATACTCTACCTTTTAACCAAAATCTTACTCATTAATAAACAAAATAAAAACCAAAAAATACCTGATTGAAGAGGTTTGCCGTATACCCACTGCGGTACTCTCCCAACGCCAGGCCAACGGAAGAAGTAACCTCTCACAGAGAAGCTGAATACAATACAAAATTCAAGATTAATGCAAAAGGAGCTAAGAGTTACCTTGAATGAGTAAGTCAAGCTTCAATTTTAGCAACGTTTACGGAAACCCCTGAAATCTGTTGCTTCAAAATCACCATTTTCGGTTTCTCTCTCCAGTTGTTTTTGTTGTGAATGGTGGTGAAATGTAGAGGCCTGGTGTTGTAATAAAGCTCGTTTTATGTTTTCTTAATTTTTTTTTATTTTTTTTTTTGTTTCTGAACCTTCCACGGGTTTATTTTAACTCTCTTTATTACTTTGACTTTTTTTTTTTTTTTTTTTTGGAGGGATTGTTTTTGGAGATAATTAGGATTAAATGACATGATTATTGTCATATGTATTAATAATTCTCAATTCTCAAGATTCTCAAACAATTCCAAAAACTCAATAATAATTTGGATAATAATTCAAGTGATAAAAACCAATTCCTTTTTAAAAACTCAATTCCTCTCCTAAGTGTGCACACCCCCCCAATCTAGTATGTTTATATTGAAAGGTTATTCTTGAGGAAAGACTAGGTCATACAAAGTCCATAGTCTTCAATGAATCCGCATAGTGGGATTAATATAATAATAATGCTTGTAATACTTTTAATAAATAATTCAATAAATCCTCATAAAATTCCTCCGTTGAATAATATCAACCTTTATAATAAAATAATTCAAAACTCTTTTTATTTAAATCAACATACTTTTAAAATCAACCTTTAATAAATACTTGAGAATTAAATCTCATATTAATAACTTTTCAAAAATCAATTATAACTCTTCCTTTCGAGATCCAAAAACTTTTATTTTATTTAACAAGATTTTCGAATCAATTCCTTTATTTAAACATGATTAGTAATTCAAGACATTCAAATCATGATATTAAAATCAATCCTTCAAATACATTTATTAAAGCATATATTAAAATCAATTTTTTCAAACATACTTTATTTCATAAATCATAATTCAAATCAATTTAATTCAATCACCAATAAAATTATATAAAATATGCTATTTAAACTAATCACTTTCAAAGGTATCTAACCACCTAAACGTACTTTGATTTCGACTCTCAATCAACACTTCGCATTTTCAAAGTTCAATCACGAATACACCTTGCAATTAACATAACCATAAGGTTATCACAACATCTTTAGACATAAACCCAAATCTAATGTGCATGGACTATAAAACTCTTTAAAAATAATACTTTAATATAAAATTATAGCTTTGAATAAGTATTTATATTTTAGAAAACTAACCATGAAGAAAATTAAGGAATAGGATTAAAGAGAATTGAATTTGCGTTGGAAAGAATAAGCAAAACTTTTAGAGGCTATAACTTCTTCAATATAACTTTGAATTGGGTGATTCTTGAGCCTAACTTCAAGGATTTTGTGAGAGGAACAATTTTATGTGAAATAGAAAAACCCCAAAACTTACCAGAAGAACCCAAAAATTGGCTCCAAAGATATACGGGTTGATTTTCTTTTAAAAAAGAGGAGAAGAAAAGTAGGAAAAGGTTGAGGGAAAAGAAGAGTAAGAGAGAAGAAGAGAATTAAGTTTTTAGTGTGAAGTATTAGGGGGTATTTATAGGCTTATGAATGAAAGAATTAAGGTAAGATTTTGTAGGAAAAATTATGGTAAATTTAGTTTAAGGAATTACTTGGAAAAGAGAGTTAAAGAATTTAGGAAAGTCTAGTTTATGGTGATTAAGAATTGAAGAAATAAGGTAAGTATGTGGTCATGAAATATTAAATGGTAAGTGGCTTTGCTTGGGGAATAATCAATAATGATTTAAGGAAAATAAATTGTATGATCAAATCTTTGTGAGATGGAGAATAAGAATTAAGGAATTTAAGGAAGATAATTAAAATACAAAACTAACAAAATAATTAACCCAAAATTAACATAGGGTGACTGAAAATATTGAGCATATCCATGCTCATATGTTCAGACCTCCACTACTAGTTTTAGGAAAATATTTACTAGATTTTAAGGATTAAAAATGATTGTGTAAATAATATATTTTGTAGAAAATAATTAATTAGAATATATTAATTTAAAACTAACTTAATTAACTAATAAAAATCAGATTTTCTACACTTAGAAAATCCGAAAATCTCATTAATTAATTTAGGAATTTCGGCCCTTTAATTTATAAATAAGAAATATAATTTTTGTTAATTAATATACCCGAAAATATACATATATATATATGTGTGTGTGTGTGTGTACGGTTTTTATTAAAATAATGGATAATAAATCTTATCCAAAATCCAAAATAATCATCGAGTTTTGAAAATGTTGTTGACCCCAAAATTCAAATATCATTCTGGCCCCAAAATGTTGTTGGCCCCAAAATTCAAATATCATATTGGCTCCAAAATTCAAATTGTAAAATAAATTACTAAAATACCCTTTTTAAAAAATACTAATTAATTAATTAATTGAAAAATACGTTTCAAAAATACGGGATATTACAAAACTAATCTAAAAGGCTCTAATTTTTAGCTTTTTACAAATTAGCTTATTTGCCTCAATAAGTTCATTTAAAAAGCTTACGGTTATATCAAACAACCAAATTAGATGATTAATATAGTCAAACCTCTAGTTTGGTTAAATAAGCTCATTTTTGGTAAAAACTCTAAAATCCAAACATGGCCGTCAAAATTCTTCCTTATCACTACCAAGTTCATGTGAGTATGTACAATGGCCTTTTTACATCAATAAAAGCCTGTAGGAAGGAAAGACGATATTGCTACACAGCTATACTAGGCTCACATCTTCATTAGATATCTAGCTTAGGACTTTACATAAAAACCACAAACAGAGCCAGATAAATTGTGTTCATAGCATATACATAGATCATTTTGAATATCTCTTTGATTAAATCCAAAACAGAAAAAGAAATTCCAGAAACATTCTAAAGTCTTACATGGATTAGTTGTAACCTCAAGGAAATACAATATCTACACATCAGTAACCCTATAACCAGATCAGACACAAGGATTCTACAAGATATGAAGTATATTATAAAACAAGAACAGTTAAAGTCGCGAAATTATGAGGAATCACCGGTCGTATTCATTAACCCCGTCACAGTGAATTTAGTTGTACTCGTAGTGCCGTCTTTCATCCTGTATAGACTGGAAAATACGTGCAGCTGATTCCCTTGTAGATTTTTGTGGAACAACTCTGATTACTCTAGTTGGCTTCTCAGTTGGAGAGCCCTCAGAAATCTGGATGGTTGGAGCCGCAGGAAAAAGAGGAAGTGCATCTCTTCCTTCCATGAGAGGAACTGTACCCGTTTCCTGTGTTCTTTCACTGGGGCTGCTAGCTGTGCTTCCTTGCAGCTCGCGTTCCCTAGGGGGGCGGGGTCTTGCAGCAGGTGCAATGGTCCCTTTCTTTTGACTAGGCACATTGACCGAACCCTGATGTTGCATGCTGCCAAAAATAGCACTGGTTCCTACAAGCTGA